GTAGCAAAAGGGGGATACTCCAGATGTAAAAACGAAAAAAAAAGGGCATAAAGATCAGGAAGATGATAGAGATTTTTTTCCAAAAGAGCTATTGCACCATTTACCATTTCAATGTCTGCAGATGCTTACGATAAACTCTGGTATATTCCTGACATGCCTAGCTGTCAATCCATACACGTTTCAAATAAATAAAATTTGTATATACTTATTACACTGCATGTTTTTAGGAACATCATTTTTAAGGAAATAAATCTGATTTCTATCACAAGAGCTAATGAGAAAAACATACAGTCACTTTCAATCCCATCTGAAATAAGGCGGAATTAAATAAGAACTAAGAATTAAATCAAGCAGTATGTTATAATTACATAGGTAAGAAAAACCTATCTATGGAGGGAAAACCCACAAAAATATTAATAGTTCACTCATTAATTCGTCAACATATATAAATCAAACACTTCTTACATGCTCAGCACTGTGCTCAGTTCGGAGAGATACCAACTGGTAAACATAAAGACTCATAGTCACTGGCTGTCCTGGAGCTTACACTCCAGTGGAGGGAGACACACAATTTTCAAATAAGCATATGCATGGGAGTAACTCCTCACCCCCAACTTCTTTTCTTCATTTTTCTTGTTTACTATCAGACATTCTCATGAATGTTCACTTTAATGATACTCATTTTAAATGACCGGACTTTTCTCATATTTTAAGACAAATTAATCACATAAACTGGTCGCTATTTACCTGATTCATGGCCAATTCAAATATCCAGATGAAAAAGATAGAAAGCTCTGTATTTATTATCTTAGTTCCATAAGTCCCTAGAGAAGATTAGGACAATCTTTTCATCATTTGCATAATGCAGCTATCATGTCTTTTCAATTGCATTGGCAGATCCCAGCCCTGGCCAGTACGTAAAGCTATCATCACTAAATCTAAACATATTCAGAGAATAAGTCAGAATAAAAACACTGACAACACAGATGTGTGAATAATAATTATAATTAACCCCTTCTAAAAGAAAAGGTATATGTAATAGTACATAATAGAGTAACAATTTAACCCATCTTTTTTTTTTTTTTTCCTTTTTACTCAAAGCATAAAGCAGAGGCAACACTTCATCCCAGGTTAACATGCAACTTAAAAAAAAAGTTAATATACATATTAAACATGGAAATTCACAAGTAAAACCTTATTTGTCATTTCCCCCCAAACATACCTTAACACGATTCCTTTATTTCTTAATAAACAAGGCCCTACCACTGGTCACCTGACCAATGCCTTACATTTCTGGAGCTTGACAGTTTAGTGAGTTATGGACATAAGAACACTGTTGTAAGTATACTGAAGTAACACATCTGCGAAGCAGCTGATCAGACTGATTTACCAATCGAGGGGTCTCTACTCCAATCTGCCACTCCCTCCCAACCTCTGCAAAAACATAAATATCCTCCAGCCACCATGAAGTTTTCTTGTCAAGAAGGCCCTGAATCATGATTTCCCTAGTTTTCTAACACACATCAGCAGTGATGAACTACAAAGCACCCACATGCTCAAAGATCCTTACTTTTTGGAATATTCCTTGAGTGCAAAATTTTCTTAGGATTCAGAGAAATGCAAGTTCAAGAAAAGATAAAGAGATAAGACAGATTTTTTTGCCTCTTCATGCATGCAAAGCTTGAGTTAAAACCTTTTATCATATTAGAAATTCCAATACAACAAACCTAAAAACTTTCAAAAGGTTTCCTAATTTCTTTGTTGTATTAAATGTGGCTTCAAGTATGTCAATAAACACAGAGCTCAATTTGGGAGGGGTAGATAGACTACTTACAACATATCTTCATCTAGGCTTCTCTAGGAAAATACAATAAACAAAGAAGACTATCTATAAGAAATGTGTCATCTTTAAAATCAATACTGTTAGTAAAATGTATTTTAAGCACCAATTAAAATTAGTATATGTTTTTCTCATCTCTAGCAACCAAAACAGCCCTTCTTAGATGTAATTATAGCTTCCTCCTCAATGTGTTACCTTGAACATTAACCCAGAAAATATCTTTAAAAGTGCTCTGCAGGTATTACCTCCTCTCAAAAAACCACAGAGGGACAATATAAGAAAAGTCTACTCCAATCTAAATGGCTAGTTTAAGCAAAAATAATTAGAGGAATTCTGTGTATCACCAATGTAAGAAGTTTTGGAGAAGAGAGTGGTATACAATTATTTAAAGTCATGTACACATTTCACTTTTCCATGCAAGATGACTTAAAATATAAACACAATGTGGTTGTAAATCACGGAAAATACTGTCAAGTCTCTGCCCCCAGAATTTACAGTCCCACTCTACGGTCAAAAAAAAAAAAAAAAAGAAAGGAAGGAAAGGAGAGAGAAAGGGAGGGAAAGGAGGGAGGTAGGAAGGAAATATGAAAACATAATAGTCTATCAAATATTTTAGTTTGTAAGTAGAATCTAAACAAAGAGGAAGGATCTGTCTTGAGCAACAAAATGGATCAAGATCTAAATGATAAAATCAAAATTACTAACCACTAAGTATGAGGAGAATTAAGAGGATACTCTTATACAAGCAATAAACTTTTACTCAGGTTTTAAAATACACAATACAATCTTCTGTGTGAAAACTATTTAAAAAAAAAAAAAAAGAAACAGTTCAGTTTTCTAGCCTCTGCAGTACCTAAAAGGCAATGGCGTGTTTTTATTAGGAATGAGAAAAAATGGTTTTGCTCATGTTTCCAAAACTATGGTTTGTTACCTAGTTTTTTGTTTTGTTTTTTTTCCCCTCAAATAAAGCACAAATTGTGACTTAGAAATCCTCAGGGCTGTGCCATCAGTACTCCAAACATGTAATACCATAGAAAACACATATAATTTATTAGACGGACTTAAAAACCCACACAAATCAATTTTAGGCACTTCTTGGGTACAGACTATGGGCATCTTCTTTCAAAAAACAGGATATCTAATAGGCAAGACCATAAACTTTAATTTTTAGAACAATACAACAACAATTAGACAATTGATTTAAAAAACTGCATAAGCAACCCAACTGTATCCTGTTATAATTTCTTCACAATTCCACACACCATTTTAGGATTTAATAGAAACAGCCATTTTTTAGCATCGAAAGTTTTAAAACTCTCCTTCCTTTACTTCACCGATACGGTCTTAAAACTCATATATTCTTTGAGGAAGCATGATATACAAGTTCTACTTTTATATAGGTAGAACTTTAAATTAGTATTTTCTATACTGTGTCTATATCTATACAGAATCAACATATTATGGTTGATGATTTTGATGTCTTCTAAAGTCCATTTCAACAGGTTTATTTTGTAAAGATAGGCTTCTCATTACTAATTCTTTTAGACATCTAATGTTTATCTGTGTTCTTTAAGTAAACATGAGGAAAAAAACAGAATGTGAGCTATGGTTTTAAGGATATCTTCAGGGTAA